TTAGCCAGGGCATATGAAGAGGTATTGCCCGCAGTTGGGTGGCACTCCTGGTGCATCTGGTTTGAGGCCGATTCAGGGTCAGCAGCCAGCTCAGTCGGGTCAGGCCTCGAGGGCCAATCAGGGGGCTTCATCGTCTCAGTCAGTGCAGCAATCTTATAAAATGAAGTAATTGATTATTTTGGTTAACCATCTGTTGAATGCTATTGCTTTATTCATTGCTTATATGTGGTTTAGTATATTTCTACTGGGCTGTGGCTCACCCTATATGGGAACATCATTTTCAGGTTCAGGTGATAAGCTACCTCCAAGGACTTAGCTTGGAAGGGACTTGGATTTTGAAGACTATCTTTAGTTAATTGTCTTTATTTATTAGTACATGTAAACATCCAAGCCTAGGGCTTTTCTTGTATTGAGTTAGAACTCATCTTTTTGTATCCAAGTGTTGGCTTGGAAAGATGTAAGCCTGTAGGGCATTTTATGCGATGTTACATGTAAAACTTTTATTTAGTAATACTCTGATGAATGAATTAATAAATTGTTTTCTTTAAATAATGCATGTCAATGATATATATATATATAATGGGTTGATTTTGAGGACGTTATATTACAATTCAAGTATTAATGCACCAAACCAATTGATGGTTTGAAAACACCTATATGGTTCCTGGAATTGTATAATGCATACATACCAATGAAATTTTTGTAAGAAGTTTATGCATTGGTTGGATGTGTTGAAAGGGTACAGTATAATGGTTCATGATTACGAATGGGTGTGACTCTCTTTTTTATTTTATTTCAACATCTGCATACCATTTGGAGTTTCATAATTCTCTGCAGATGTACTGCCTGTCTGCCTAAAGTACTGAACTTTTATTCTTATGTGTATTGTAGGGGGGCTTTTTGGTAGATAAAAAGAGGGGGTTTAATTGTTAGAGTCGAAGCAAGAGGAGGAGACGAGATCATGAATACTGGGTTTTTGGAGGGATTCTATCTAGGGTTTCGAGTGCGATGGCATTGGATGCGCCCTACCTGTTGAAGCTCCTCCTAAGGTTAGTCCTCCCGTCGCTACCACACCTCTGGTCTCGTCCTCTCTCTCTCTGTCTCTCTCTCTCTCTCTATTGCTCCATCAGATCTGGTCTCAAACACATGATTTACTATCTTCCTAGCTCTTCGATCTGGCCTTTCTTCAGTCAAATTGTACTCTTTTTAATCTTTCAGTTGCTATTTTTGGTCTGCTCTCTTTTCAATAGAATCTCATTCACTTTGATCTTTCTGTTTTTCAATCTCAGTATTTTCAATTTTTTCAATCTATGTTTGTATATTGGTAGAACATAATTTTATGTATTTCTAATCAACATAGGTTATTAGACTATGTTATTCCTTTTTGTCTGGAAGGAAGAACATTAGAATCGTTGATTTTTTTTTTTTTTTTAAATTCAGATTAAGGGTGAGAATGAGATTCAGCCCAGTTGATGTGGGAGCCATGAGAAGATAATAAATTGATTACTAGTATGAAGAGTTAGTCTTGTTAGTATAAATTGGGTATTGCATCATTTTTTCTATTTATCTTAAATTTTCTATTCCCTGAACATGTTATGTATGAACCAAGACTGCACTGGATGTACAACTCTCTCAATAAGTCAACAAAATCAAGTATTGAGAAAGGAAACCTTAGACATTATAAAAAGATACAAGGAAATAAAAATAGTACCTTTGAAAGACAAAATGATCCTCTCACAATTATCAGAAACACCTTTGTTTTCTCTCATTCCACAAGCACCACATGAGGCAAAGAGGAATAACCTCCCACGCTCTACAAAAACTACCTCTGGACAACCTCTCCTTCAAGAGGCAAACAAATCCTGAACTGAATAGGGCATCATAAATAACAATGGTGTAAAAAGATAGTTGTCACTTCCCACCTCACTCTTGCACATGTAGCACCAATCCATCAAAAATTTTCCCCCTTCTCCTCAGATTATCAATTGTCAAAATAGCTTCTTGTGCAATTGTCCAAGTAAAGAAGACCACGTTAAAAGGAGTTCTCGAGCACCATAAGGTCTAGAACTTCTGGCTGGTGCAGATATTTTCTGTCTTGAAATTATGCTGTTTGGTGGGGCAACAAGGGGTGCACTTGGTCAAATTTTCAGCAAAGCACATAGAAATTAGGTGCAGAAAAGCTGAAAAATGCTAAGCTTGTTTGTCTTCTGGCCCAAAAACAAGGTTGATTCAAATGAGCTTGTCCATTTTTGAATACATGATGAACGCTAGTTGTTTGCAGATTGCTTTTTAACACTGGTTTCAGGAATTGGATGTTATATACAATATATAGTGGTTTTCATGTTGAATATATAAATTCTGAAAAAAAGGCTTTCCTATTCTTCGATTTTTCTTGTATACATATTTGCTTTAAAAGCATCAATTTTTTGTTGTTCATCCTGACTCTTCATTGATTTAATCCCATTCTGTTCTCCAAGTTATGAGGAAGAAAAACGAAGAACTAACACTAAAAGCTATTAAAGGATCTACTGATCTTTGTGTATGTGGTTTCTGGAATCATGCCAAGAAGTTCAAGCTGTAATCAGTTTTCTAAAACCACAGGTGATTTCCTTTTAGAAACTCAGTAAAACTTGATAATGGGCAGATCATTGAGCAGGTTGATTGCCTCCTTCATATGGCTCACTACAGCAGTCATCTTCAATCTTTTTATGGAGACATTAAATAAGTGTGAATGTTTTGACTACAGGCTGTTTTCTTGGAACTATGCTCAAGTCGTGTGCCTGTACTTACTCTTCAGACTTTAAAGATCTGTGTCGGTTTCTTGTATATATTAGTTCAATCCTCTTTTGGTTTGTTTTTCCCATGATTAACTTTTAGATGATCATCTCTGGGCAAGCTTGCTTTGCAAAGGATGGTAATATGTCATTTTCCTCCTCCCCTTATCTTAGTACATAGCTATCTTTTGTTGAAATTCAATATGGGAGATTTAAAGAGGTATTTTATTAACTATTTATAAGCATTGCCATTTTGTGTTTTGGAAGAGTAGAAAATATTCAAATGTTTTAGATCAAGCATATATGAGCTCATTTGTTGACATTAATGGCCCATTCATGAAAGGTGGGTCTGGGTTTTTTTGTTTGTTTGCTTCTTTTTGTTTTGTTTTTTTCCCAATCCCATTTAGTAGATTCTAAGATATCATTTTGGGGGCCATATTATGTGGAAGCTTGTTGATCTTCTTTGAGCATGCTTACTTTGTCCTAGAAGTCTGTTGCTTTTGAATTTTGTATATCTTGAATATATACGACTTGAAGGTCCTGACACTCTGTACCCAGAATGCCTCTGTATGTTAGATCTGTGCAGTGAAAAATGGTTTTTCTCTTCAGCATACCTTTTATTTAGTCTTCACACCAACCACAAAGGAAGGGATCAAAATTAGCTACTTTAAGAATCTAAGCTGGAGACCATTGTTATTTAGATGAAGTTTGTGTTGTCCAAAATGTAGAGAACTTAAAAGTGTTATGGTGTGTGACTTATTTCCATACCCAATAAAAGTGTTATGGGGTAAAGGAGGCCTCCTGACATCTAATATTTCACCTGGCACTTAGCAATTTTCAAGTTGGGGCATTATTGGGTTGCATTCCTTGAAATGTCCTTTTGATAAAATTTATATCCTTTGTCTCGCAACAATTTATATTTCAACTAGCATTTAGCAATTTTCAAGTTGGGCATTGTTGGGTTGCATTCCTTGAAATGTCCTTTTGATATCCTTTGCTTGTTTTAAGAGTGACAATCATTTATATCCTTGTCTTGCAACAATTTATGTTATTACCTTTCAACAAGTTACATTCTGTTTGCCTTATATATATCATACTCAGCATGACAGCATGATAGCATGATGTCATTCCAATATTTCTTGAATTCTCTTACTATTTTCCATTTTTGAATTTTTGGCAGATAAATGCCATTTATATTCGAGCCTTGTCAAAGGATATAGAATTTTAAACATTGTTCCCTACATACATTTTAAATTTCATTTCTCCTTCCTCATGTTAAATCCTATGAGTTCAACAATAGATACGCAACCTATGAGCTTTTGATTACATATATACGTTATTATAATAATAATCTGTTGCTTAAAATATTGATTTGTTTCAATTATTTGCAGGTAATGAGTCCCTCAATGGCACTGAAGGGACAAATTCAGTTAAAGTTGTGAATGGAGGTCTACTATCAAATGCTATCTACACAGTTTTTAAAGACATGTTTGATAGAATCTAATTCATTTAGAAATTTTCTTTTGGCAGTGGCAGTTGTACAAGGAAGGACACGCACTCTGGTTGAGAGGTTTGAAAGGAGAGAGAGGGAGATTAAATAGTGATGAAGTTCAGGCACCCGATACAACCCCTCAAATAATACCTGAGATGGCTAAAATATCCCCTATGTTGGTATGGTTTTCCCTCCTAAAATAGTTATCTTCTATGGCTATTATGCATAGATAAATTGATATGTAATTTGGTTTCAATTTATATGACCTCTCACTCACACAGGATATTTTGAATTAGTAGACTACATTATTTTGTTATATGCAGATCCTAATAGTCCAAATCCAGTTACCTTCACCTCTACCGTGTCTAGTTGCCGTCAATTATCACCATAAAGAACTGGTCACTAAACCATAATTATTACAAGATATCAACAAAATCAACCTTTAATGAAATATTTATACATTTTCTAACAAATACCGTTCTCTTTCTCTCATCCTTTTGTTGGACCCGAACCTCCATCAACCATGAAAGCACCACCATTCCCTTTGCAAATATGGTTTTTGTTTTATTATTGTATCTTAAGTTGTTTTGTTCAAACTTATAATTAGTTTCACATATGTATAATCAATAGACACATGTGTTTAAACAATTGACACGTGTGTCCTCCAAGTGTCCAAAGAGTGTCCGGGTCTTTAAAAATATTTAAAAAATAGGACACGTTTTGAAGAGTATCGGACACGTGTCCTAAGAGTGTCCAAAGAGTGTCGGTGTCCGACACGGACACGACACGGATACGTCACCTTCTTAGAAGTGTCCGTGCTTCTTAGCCCAAGACAAACCAACACTAGCTTTCATATCTACCATTCATAGCTCTAATCAATCAACTCCATTGCAAAATATTTAATAAATCCTCAACTTACTCACATATCTGTGGATATAATGAAACCATAGGCTACAACTCAATTGAACTAAGCCTTTCTCCCAATTACTTGGGATTGGCATGGATCCTATTAAGCCATTTCACCAAAGTTAATACATTAGAAGGATTGACTGTGTACATATAAAAACAGTACTGACAGATAAATTGGCCAATGTTAATGGCCAGTTGTAATGAGAATGGTGTTCTTTTCTGGACTATTTAAAATAAAACCCTGTATTTCAATTTTTTTTTTTTTTTATTTCAAGGTTTTTCTCTTACATAATGCAGACATATTCTTAGATTTTGTGAAGTAGTCTTTTGAATATTTATCATGCTACTTGGAAACTTACAGAATGGACATCCACAAAATACTGAAAGGGAGTTGACATCTGCAAATGATGGTAATGTTGCTGAAGATCTGATGCAGAATCATGATGTATTCTTGAGTACCCTTTGGTCTCACTTGACAAAATTACAGGTCTGTGGATCTCATTTATTACTGTTTTGGCATTATTGCTGATTGCTGAAATTATCTCATGTATTAAGCAGTTTTCCTGCATGGAAAATTACTGGATATTTGTAATAATTGACAAACTTTTGCCTCTGATTTTTCATTTTGAAGAAAATTGCTATTCTCTCTTATGTGAATTGCATTCAAGCATCTTGTTTTATGTAAGGATGCAAATAATATAAAATTCTAATGAATGTAGGTGGTGCGCCATTTTTGGGAACAGAATAATATCAAGGGTGCTATAGATGCTACGAGGAAGTTGCCTGATCATTCTGTGGGTATTTTTTGGAGGATTTCAAGCGTGTTGCTTGTTCGTTTGAAATGGTTCCTATTGGTAACCAATTTCTTCCTTGTTTAATTTTATGAAGATTGTATGTGGTGTAGGTACAAGTAGATCAGTATTCTCATGAAGAAAATGGAGATTCTCACCTTAGGTTTGCACTAAACATGGGGGGCTGATTTGAAGAAAATTCAAACTGTTTGACAGTATATGACTGAGATTTGGAAAGTTGTAGGGTTAAATCTCCAAAGGAGATAAACTAGAATTTTTATGGTCTTTAATTTGGCATTGTAATTCAAATTTGAGCCAATTTGTGTTCTTTTATATTAATTATTAGTTAATTGGCAATCTCTATTCCTAGTTAAATTTATATAAATTCTCAGTTAATTTTCAATTCTATTCCTAGTGAAATTCTCAATTAATTGGGCTGTGTTCTTAAAAAAAAAAAGACTTTGAAAAAAATGCCACTAAATGATGTCATCATGACATCACACCTGATGCAAGAATTAAAAATGAAGAAAGGGGGCGTTTTTCAAAAAAACATCGCTGAATGACGTCATCATTACATCATTAACGGAAAAGTAAGTGTCTGACAAAGATTTTGCGACGTTTTAAAAAACGCCGTCTAATGTTTTTAGCGACGTTTTGGAAACACTGCTAAGCTATTGCGGCGGCCGTATCTACGACGAAAATATTAAACATCGTAAAATTCTATTGTGGCATTTTTCAAGCCTATAGCGGCGTTTTTTAAACGCCGCTAAAAGTCAAATTTCTTGTAGTGGTGATGTGCCTTCCTCTCCACTTGTTGATATTGTTGCTTCAAAAACTCATTTTCTGTTGGGTAGCTTTGCTTGGTAAGATTGTCACAAGGGAGGCTGCAGTACATAATCTGCTGTTATAGGGATAAATTAAGCTTGGAGGGTATAGTGTGTTGTGCTGTCTTAAAATGATGGTTTATAGATTGTGTTTTGGTTCCTTTTTTTTGTTTTTTTTTTTTGTTGGGGGTGATTCTGTTGGGTAGCTTTGCTTGGTAAGATTGTCACAAGGGAGGCTGCAGTACATAATCTGCTGTTATAGTGATAAATTAAGCTTGGAGGGTATAGTGTGTTGTGCTGTCTTAAAATGATGGTTTATAGATTGTGTTTTGGTTCCTTTTTTTTGTTTTTGTTTTTTTGTTGGGGGTGATGTGAATACATTCCAATTGAACATGTTGTGGATGTTATTTTCTCATGAATTCAAGATCTGTTATATTTTTTTAATTCTGTGTTTAGATGTAATTTATTCATTCATGTAATTGCTTGATGTTAGGATTTAAAATATATCTGTTTGATATCAAATGATAATTCTGTTCACATGCTTCTCACAAACCTGCTGGGGCAAAAATTTCCATTAATATTTGGTTGACATGGATTATTTCTAGGCTGAACTTAGAGCAAGTGTTTTTGAGGCAATTGAAGAAGAAGATAGGACAATAGAAAAGGAAGAAGGTTTGCCTCCTGCACTATTGGGTAGCTGCAATGACTGTGCAAAACAACTTCATGCTTCACCTTCAGGTTCCTCTTCAAATCTATTATTTCTCCTTTTTATTTATTTACTATTTTTTTAATTATTTTTTATTATGACTTTGAAGCTGTTGGGTGTTTATATTTTATAGGCTTAATACTTTCATAATTTATTTATCTTATGCTCCTGAAAGTTGTCTTTTGTATGACCATTGTAGTATTGATCTCTTCTTTATAAAGTATTATATATATATATATATATGACCATAATGTGTCAGGTAGTGGGAATGTGAATTGACTAATTGAAATACATGTCACGGACACTTATATGGAAGAGACGTGTCATGTTGGACCTCGTGTCAGACACTGACACACTGTGAAATTTGAAATGAGAAGCAAAATACGTGTGGAAGAGACGTGTCATTTTGCAACATGAGAAGCAAAATGACGGTATTTACGGCTGCAAAATTTGAAAGATATGTAGACGGTATTTACTGCTGCAAAATTTGAAATTGGAGAGGGAAGATTGGAAGGGAAAATTGTTGGGGAGAAGAGGAAAAAGATTGATGATTCAGTGGACATGGTGGTTTCCAAGGAAGGTTTTGATGATGAGGATAAACTTCTGAGGACTGTGTTTGTTGGGAATTTAACATTGAAGGTTAAGAAGAAGGCTCTGTTTAAGGAATTTAGCCAATTTGGAGAGGTTGAGTCTGTGAGGATTCAGTCTATTCCTCTATTGGATGTAAATATGTTTCCAAGATTTATTCCTTGGTTTTCATGTAAAGTGCTTCCTGCTCATTTTATACGTGTTAGCCGATTCTAGTTTTAACTATTGATGATTGTTTTATCAGACCAAAAAACTGACGAAGGGTGCAATTATCCAGAAGAAAATAAATGATGCTGTTGATAGGTATGCTTATATATATATATCAATTATCAAATTCAATTCATCAAATGTAGTATGCTTGTCACAAAAAGTTATGATATTTAATGGCATCATCTCATTTTATTTTTGATTCCTGCAATTCGTTGGACATAATGGTGTCGTCTCCTTTTTGCCTTTGGAATTGCTTTGTGTATTAATATGCTCCCATTTATAGTTTTGCCTTCTGTTCTTGAATGAAATTCTCTTACATTGATTCAGACGTCCACTTTTATCATTTCCCAATATCTGTACTTTTGTTGCATTTAATAAAATGTATGCACATCCTTCAATGTGTGATTTTGATTCTTTACTGATGTTGGTTGTTAGAAGTGGTTTCTTTTCATTGATCATATGGCTTCTTCAGTTAACCATCCAACAGACATTTAACTAATAATCTTTAAATTATCTTTCTCATAAATCATTAATTTTTATATCTTTAATAAAAGCAGGTTGGTTCCTAAAAAAATCATTAATTACACGAGGCCATGAACATATTGAATTGTAACTATTAGTGTGTTGATTGTTTCATCAGGTTTTGTTTTGTTTTATTTTTTTTTCCTATTGTTATTATTACACCAGTAATAAATTGTTGGGATCTTGCAGTGTTCACGCTTACATTGTCTTTGAAACAGAGCAAGCTGCCCAAGCTTCTTTGGCCCATAATATGGATGCGGTATGTTGCTCTTTTGACAGTTAATCAACATGATTCTGGGTACAATTGGATATTTTGCTAGGAGAATGTTTTAGCTGCATTTGTAATGGGTTTGTTGATCTAGGTTGGAGGAAATCACATCCGTGTTGACAGGGCATGCCCACCTCGCAAGAAACTAAAGGGAGACAATGCTCCACTCTATGATAACAAGAGGATGGTTTTTGTGGGTAATCTCCCATTTGATGTGAAGGTGAATTGCTCTTCTTTTTCTTCTTATTCTCTCTCTCTCTTTGGGTATTTTGCAGAATGCAGGCTGCCTATTTGCTTCTCATGTTGCAAAATGAC